TCAAAGGGTACATCTAAGTCAGGACAAGTAATGTAGAGGAATTGATGGTTCGTAGGTGGAGAAGCCAACTCCTTAGAGTACATTCTTGTGCCATCAATGCTAATGCTCTTTCAGTTTCTACAGTCTCATTGTCTTCTTCAGTTCTTGTATCATGTGGATACATCTATTTTCTCAGTTTAATTTATTTTTTCGGGCTTTTAGCCGTCTTTCCTATCTCTGGGTTATAGAGGAGAGGTTCTTCGCGATCAAACATAGTCATAAAAGAAAGAAAAGATAATTAGTTACTTAATTCCTTGGCAACGGCGCCAAAATTTGATGGGTGCCAAATCTACCAAAATAAATTCCTATTTTAACTAATAATATTAAATTGTAGAAGTGACAAAGAGGATCGAATCCTCAGGGAACCAAGGATTACTTTCCTTTTTTATAACCACTTTAAACATAATTAAAATAGAAGGGAGTATTTATTCTTTAGAATGAAATAGATATTCAGAGAGGTTTATTCAAAATTAAATTCTAACTTAAAGAGAACATTGGAAATAAATATACATAAATCAGTTATGCAAGCATTCCCATTAAACGAAATAGCTATGCTCCAATTATATAATTGATTACTGATGCAAAAATTAGTCTTATTAAAATGTAACAAATCAGTTTTAGTTATCGAAAACATTTCGATAATCAGTTCTTCCTTAATCTTAAACTAGTCAAAAAACACTCATTAACTAGTTCTCATTGATCAAACAATCCCAAGAACATCCCTAGAGTTTAATTTGTCAACAACCTTAAGAACCAAAAGGATCTTATTCAAGTTGTTGGACTCATCTGCGTGAACTGGTCAACTAAATTGTTTATTCCCTTACTTCAAAATTAATCACCACTAGATACTACTTCGGCTCGAGAAATTACAGATTTCGACTGCTTCGAATGGTTGTATATTACTGTGTTACACGCCTAACAGGCCCTGTTGAACAATTAGAAACAACAAATATAAATATATATATACACATAGAAAAATAAATAAATACTTGCATTTAAACAAAATCATAATCAACTGAATTCGATCTCACAATATAGATTAGAGTTTCACTAAATCTTTTAACTAGAAAAGAAAAAGTTTTTAGCCACTCATGATGAGTTTAATAAAGCATATATCTTTTTTATATTGTAAAGAGAAAGGAGACAAGTGTATAATTTTGCATGTGCTGCAGTGCACGGTGTGAGAAAGATGCCTCATCTCTATCGGTAATCTCTTTAAAGCAAAAAGGATAGGTTCCCTTTTCCTTTGATCAGGATTCCTCCCATGATTTAAG